GGAAGGGGGCCGCTTTTACCCCATGCCAAGCATCAGCTTCTGCCTGGCTGCTGCCACTGCTGCTCAGCATAGGCAGGTGGTCCAGAGCAGGCATGGGATGGGTCAGGTTCAGGCCCATGCATGTGGGTTCCAGCTGGTCCTCTCAGGCTGGGGCAGGGGGTATGGGGTGGGCCAGGGTTGGGGGTGGGGTCGTGCGCTGTTGACAGTGGCAGGAAAGAGCCACAGAGTGCATGGGCTCTGGGCTGTTGCAGGGATGGGAACTATAGACAGGCCTGCGGTAACTCCCCAGAACTGCCTATGTAGAGATGTAACATTTCCAGAAATTTTGAAGCCATGGGGAAAAAAAACCTGGAAATTTTGGGAAAAATTGAAATATATGCAATACTTGTTTTTTTTTAGCACTTTTTACAGATCTAAATTCACTTTGCTACTTTTAAAACATAAAATGTATTATGTATAACTTGGTTTGCTCATAAAATTATCGTGTTTGATATATTTATTAAATGTTAAAGTATAGTTTGTTTCAGACAATAATTACAAAATTACTAATTGAATTTAATTTCAAATGTTTTTAATTTTTGAAAAAAAAGGAAAAAAAGCCAAGACTCATTGAATATGTATTTTGCTACATGAAACTTTGTCTAATCAGTCTCATTTTCTGATCTATCACTGTCAGCAGTTTCTGCTGCTTCTGATTCTTCTGATCCTTCATTTTTATCATCTTCATGGACTTATGAAAACTCAAGGTTTGCCCGGATTGAGACAAGCGTCTCTACTCTTTCACATGTTAGTTTATTTCTTGATTTGATGTGAGTATTTCCAGACATAGACCAGTTTCTTTCACATGCTACAGAAGAGGGAGGAATCTGAAGCAGGCGAGAAGCAAAAGGAGTCAAGCTGTGTCGTGCAAAGGCCTTGCCACCATTTTGCATGAGGGATATGCTTGGCAGAGTCCCTGACTGCATTCACCAAACAAATGAATTCATGCAGCAGCATGAATTGATTGGCAACAAAATTCTTCCCATCTGTTAATAAAGTCTTTCACTTTTCTTTCTTCTGTACTTGTAAGCAGAGGTACACTTAAAATCAACTGTTTTTGAGAATCTATCTTGGCCACTTGGTAAGGAATGTCTGACAGAAGTGCACTGTCTGATTCAGGTGCAGTGACTGCTCAAGAAATTGGCTTTAGAATCTTCAGGGAGTTCTGCAGCTGAACCCAGAGTGTTCCTTACACTTCTGGGTACTTTAAGACCCTCAGTTATTACTGTTTCTTGAAAAGCTTCTTTGCTTTTTAGTAAACTTTCAAATGAGATCACCACTCCACCTCATCTAGTTTTACTACAGTTTGAGTGTCTCTATTTTTCCATTCTTTTCTTCCTGCTTCTTTTTAAAGACTGCAGTTACAGTATGAGTAGATTTTACATGTTTTATAACTTATTTTGCTCTTCTATAGATTTTTTGCAGTGTCCAACTTCATGATGTCATTAAGAAGCAAGTTTAGCCCGTGGGATGCACATCCTATTGCAGTAATATGTGGATATTTATCCATTATGATCTCCCATGATGCTTTCATGTTACTTTGCTTTGATGACTGACAATGCAATATTTTACCACTCCCAATCTTCTGTAGGACTTCACATATTTTATTATTGATATACTTTGCAGTATACGTGTTCTTTCCTGTTTCAGTGCTTCTGTAAAAAACTGGTTGAGGTGTTTTTATCACAAAGTTTGATTCCTCTCCCCGCACATTCGTCCATCCACCTGTAAGTACTGCAAAACAGTGCTTCGTTGATTTTTTTTTTTTTCTTTTCTTTTCTTTTTTTTTTTTCCCCTTCCACAGATTGTATTAAGCATTGCATATTCTGCCTCTAAAAGAGGCTTGCTCAAAGAATGTCTGCTGGGCAAAGAGTATGATGGTATTTAAAAGCTTCCTGCCAGTATGCTTTTTCAGTTATTGACAATGGCGTCCCAGAAGAATACAGTGCTCTTTCAAGAGCTTAGTCAATTTTTTCCTGATCTTCAGGTGTCATCTTGTCTACAAATTAAGCTATTGAGAGTGTTTTGTTATGTAGTTGGTTGCAATATTTGGTTACTTGAGGTTTTTGATTGGGCAACACTTTGTGATGCTGATGTTCTAGAAGAAGCAGCAGCAGCAGAAGTAGGAGGACTTCTGGATCAAGACTTTTGGAAAGAGCTACTTGCACTTTCATCATCATGATCTACCTCCTCCTCACTTACACCCATGAAAGATTTTTTTTAATGTCTGCAGGACACTTCTTACATACAATGATGTGTTTAGTCTACCTAGTAGCATTTGGAAATGCATATTTCATTTGACAGTATTTGAAAATCACAGGGTTTTTTTCTCAGAATAACTTGCAGTGTGGAAATGCATCCATATGCTAGAAGTTGGTCGCACCATTCTGCTGAGGGAGAAAAAAGGAAAATGTAATTTAGTGGCTAGCTTGCATATATAAACACTAAGCTACAGCATGTACAAGTTTAGTAATGGATGGAGGAGAGGCCTCCTCAGAGTTAACTGTGAATAACTTCCCTGCCCTGCAGGCCTCACCTCACTGCTAAGGTTGGGTGATTTGTCACAAAACATCAGATTAGTAGGAATTCAATTATGAATTACATAGGCTATGAAAAATATACTAATGCAGCTAAAAATAGTTTAATATACTGAATTCAGAGAAATTTAAAATCTTACCTTTCAATAAAGAACTATACTTCCTTTTGGCTCCTTTGTGCTGCTTCTGTACATCTCAAGGTCACAGGGCCAGGAGAAGGCAGGTTCCTTCCAACTCCAAAACCTTTAGACTCGCTCTGTCTCCTCTCCTGAGGCTTTTGAGCAAACAGGGCAATAAGCTCCTTGTTTCTAGTCTCTACAGCAGTGTTGAGGGAGACTGAGCACAATGGGTACCACTGCATTTTTTTTTCAGATAGGTCACACTAAGCTATTCTTGTGGTGATTTGGGTAAGGGAAGGGGAACAGGTAGGGGGTGTGGGGGAGCAGGTGCATTTATTGTAACGGGTGAATAGGTTTCTTAATGTGGTTCGAGGATGTGCGTGTGTGTGTATACATACATTTTTTATTATTATTATTTCTTTTTTTTTTTTTCTCAAAAAAAAATTCTTGTGGTAGGTTCGCATTCTCTCAGTTTTTTTCCTTTAGCTTGTTGTTTTTGGCTAGGGGCAAGTGAGACTAGGAGCATCTGAACTCCAAGGCCTCTAAGGTTTGGGGCTTGCACATAGGATGCTTGCCATGGATTTAGGAGTATCTGAAGCCCCAGACTGAAGAGTCTAGGAAGTAGGATACTTGTTGGTGGTAACCTCACACACACTTGAACATCTGAGCTCCACTCATTTAATAGAATTCAGAACTGATTTGGCATAAGATACAAAATTAAAATTTAAAAGAATTCAGCATCTTGGCCTCTTTGGCTAAGATCAAATGCAGCCTTCAAGGACTTTGAATCCTAAACTTCCTCGCCCCCTCAGTTGCACCCCCCATGTTGGTGTTTGTAACTGTGTGCATTTTCTGAACCGTCTCTCTCTTAGGATGCAGTATTGTTGTGCGGGATATCCTTGTATTCTCTGCTTTGTGTCACACCCCCTTCTTCCCTTTCTCCCTTCCTACTTCCAGGCTTAGTGGGCTACATGTCTCAGATGCAACTTAGTTGCATTCCTACCACTTTCTCCATCCTCTACTATGTAGCCCCCCACTCAGGCCTCTGTATTTCTTTGTGCTTTGAATTTTTTTATTAGAACTTTAACATTTTCTACTAAATTAAATTTTTGGCACCAGGGGGAGGGTGTCAGGGCGGGCTCTGGCCCTCCCAGTGCCAGCCTGGTGGTGGTGTGCCTCCAGGCCCAGTGCAACTTCCCTGTAGCTGGAACAGGGAAGAGAGCAGGTTTCCATCTGTATATTTGGCACCAGGGGAGAGAGCTTGCTTTGGCCTCTCCGAGTGCTGGCCTGGTATTACAGCACCACCAGGCCCGGTGCTCGTTCCCTCCTAGGGAAGCAACTGCCCTTTTTTGGTTTTTTTTTTTAAGGGCCACATACCAAAAAATAAATAAATAAAGGTTTCCATAATGATGTTTCCCCAATATGATCTATAGAACTTTCATGCTAGTGATTTGATTTTTTTTTTTTTCACTATGATCATTTTTCATGCTAGTGATTTTTTTTTTCTTCACTATGGTCATTTTTTCATTTCTCTTCACCAGGGGTGTCAAACTCACGGTGGCCTGAGGGCTGGATGAGTAACACTGGACTGGTCCATGGACCAGGAGCCTCCCCTCGCTCCACCTCCAAACCAGATCCAGCACCCACTGTATGCTGTGGGTGCCCCATGTGGTGTAGACCCCAGAGTGGCTGGTGTAGTCCTGCTGGGGCAGGTGTCACTTGTATCACAGATTCAAAACCAGCTGGAACAGGCATCATGCCACACACAACCCTCATTCCAGGATCCATAACACACACGGCATCCCCAGTGGCTAATCTGGGACTGTGCCCCATGCAGCTCCTGTTCTAGCTAGTCTGGGACATGTGCTGCATGCAGCCATGTGAGACCAGCTGGAGCAGGCACCGGGTGGTGTGCACATCCCAGAGCGTCCAGCACAGGTGCCACATGCAGTGCGGTTCCTGGAGTGGCTGGAACAGGTACCACCTGCAGTGCATATTCTAAGCCCTCTCTGTGGGGCCAGTTCAGGTCAGGTCAGCCATGGGGCAGCACCTCGGGCCAGATAATGGGGCTCCTTGGACCAGATGTGGTACATGGGCCATATGTTTGACTCATCTGCTTTTCAATGTAAAAGAAAGTACTGAATGTGTCCTTCAGTTCTCCTGTACTCCAGGGATCTGGTGGCAGGGAGACCAAATGACCACTTTGAGCAATGTGTGCAACTGTAATTTGATATGCTTATGGGTTTCATTATTTAATAGGAGATTATGAATTGCAATTGTCAGAACTTGTTTTTCCTCCTGACAGAAATACACCACAAGCATGGATTTTGTGCGGAAATTTGAACGACAGTGTGGCTCGCAGGCCAGTGTGAAAAGGTTGAGATCTCACCCTACCTACCATAGCTTTAACAATAAGTGGAATCTGCCCGTTTATTTCCAAATAAGGTTAGTATTTATTCTTTACTCTTAAGGAGGGAGAAGAAGCAAAGTTGAACTCTAGCTAAAGAGCCCAGTCCTAGGTCAGAGCTCTTTTACTCTTGGAAGTTACACTTGTCAGTTAAGAAGAGCTGTATTGAAACTTGGAGAAGAACTTGTCTACTGCACTGCTCACCAGGGTATGGTAGTTATCTTGCATGTGTGTCATTGAGTTAAACCAGTCAGAACCGGCCAAGTTTATACTGTGCTTTAGTTACATTGGTACACGGCCGATAAGACTGCCAGGTGCTGGTCTAGACTAGCTTTCAGACCTTTTGTTTACCTTATGCATGTCAACCTTTGCTTCTCTAGTATTTCTGGAAATAGAATGTTTGATTGAGCAAAGTTCATGGAAGACAATAAATTTGCTGTCAGCAGGGCTTTGAAGATGTGAAGGGTTGAATATGACATTGAGAGCTTTGTCACAGTTCTGTATCCCAGTGCATCTCTGCCTCCTGCTCTGATCACATCTGGGTACTTGCCAAGGTGTAGTGCTATGCCCTTGCTTTTTCCAGAGTGGAGTCTTGCTGTTCTCCCACTTTTAGGCTGAATCCTGGGCTTACAGAACCTTGTATCAATTGTGTACCAATGCTATTCATTCAGCAGGTCTAATTGGACTCCTGTGGTCCTTTACTCAGAGAGCTTGGGACTAGTGACCCAAAGCAGCCTTCTTAAAAAACAGAAGTTGTGTTTTCATCTTAACAATTAGTCCAAAACATAGGTAGTGTAAGAGTGATGTCAGTAATCTAAGAGGCAAGTATTTCTTAGGGTGATATCTTTTATTGGGCCAACTATATAGCTGGGATAAAGTTAGACAAGCTTTTGAATTCGAGACATCCTTTGTCAGGTCATAGGTTGATAAAGAATGTTTTACGTTCAAACGCTTGTCCAGCTCTATCCCAACTACCCAGCTGGTTTAATAAAAGATAGCAAAGAAATCCGTGCCTCTCTCCAAAGCATATCTAAGAGAGGATTTTTAAAACAGGTGCACACTCATGACTTTGCTGTCTAGCAGCTTGTCATCCTTTGACAAGAACTGTAGGTGGGTTGTTCTCACTTCACTCCCTTCAAACACTTGTGTGCCCTTCCTTAGCAGCATCTTTTCTCTTACCCCTGAAGTCCTTCGTCTCTGGTTTCCTGGACTCTGGTTCTACTGTGAAGAGGGAGCTCAGGTGCTTAACCCAAGCTACCCAAGCTAGTGCCATGAGCTTAGCAGATATGCATGGTTTCTGCATTGTCTGTTGTAATATCCACCTATAGATAGCTATCTAAAAACTTTGTTTGCCTTCCTGCTTATGAGATATATAAAATTTACAGAGCAGCTCCATTTCCTTCATAAACTTTAAAATGTAATTTTGATTAAATGTTCTTTAAGCAAAATTGAGTTTTTTTCAGCATTGTTTCAATAAAACAGGGAAGGAGCTTTGGCATATCCCTTTGTCTGAAAATGCTTTGCCTGTAGGACACCTGAGATCAGATGAACTTTTTTCCACTGGTTAAAACAAATATAAAAAAATAATTCCTTTTAGACCTTTGTGCTTTTGTTCAAGGTTGCTACTTAGCCATTCAGCATCCTTTTTTGTAAAAGATGATAAAATGATGGAAGTCATTTGTGAAAGTTATAAAGTTATTCATATCACTTCTGAATTTTGTGATATGATTCAGGAAGATCGTTGAATATTTATTGAACATTTCTTTTGCACAGATTCTGAAAATATTGATACATTAATTTCAAGTCATGAGTAGACATCAGGGAAACTATTGGTTTAAGCATGATTTTAGCTTTAGATTAAGCGTTGAAATTCATTGACACACTTAAATTGAACAGGCTTTTTGGTGGAAACCACTATGTGTTCTTTAAGTTAAGATTTCTGTTGACTGTATAAGCTGAGAGAAAACTGCACAGAGGAGTTGCTGGGGCTGAGATAAACGCTTAAGATGTCGTTAGGGAGCTTCTGCCTCATGGCATATTTGACAATAGGTCTTAGTGGTTGTCTAGCATTATTAAATTATGTTTCTTGCTTTTGGAAAAAGTGAACATGCCTGTCACAACTTGGTAGTTCATAAAAATAATGCAGTGTTGGGAATGCAGTATTTAATTGGTTATGATGAGAGAGAATATTAGCTTATACAGTTTATTGTGAGAAGATGGGAATTGCTCTTTCTGATCAGGGCTGTGGTCCAGTCCAGTATCCCACATTTGTCATAGATGATACTGGCACATAGATGACACTTCAAAAGTTACTGCAAACTTTGTATTGGGTAATAATGAACTTTTTTGGTGAAAGTTGCGTGGAAAGTCTATACTGTGGAAATTGAAGCAAAAAAAAAAGACAAATCACAAATGGCACAAAAGAGAAATTCTCCTAATAGACAAATATAAAAGAGCAGCTTTGCTTCATGGTAATTAAAGAAAATCTTGGTAAGAACCAACACACTGAAAAATAGGATGCTGGAGCTGCATAATGCATTAGACAGATAAGTACCTTGTGCCTGTGCATCCTGTTGAGGTAACACATCTTGGACTGCAGGAAGGAACTGAAGGTTTTAATCCCAACTTTTCCTCTTATAACCCCAAAATCTATCTTCTTGGAAAAAGAGGTCAAGGCATCCTGGGAGGAACTATTGATTTTTCTCAGGTACAGACCTGTTTGCAGAACCTTGTGCCACTGTTCATTAGCAAACATGTAGAAAGCTACAGGCACCATAATCATGTGATGCACCTGAAGGTCAGCTAAAGCAAATGTGAGATGTGTTGACTTTTTCAATGTGAAAACACTTCAAACTAAACATTTTTTTTCTCACTGAAGCTGAGGACTTGGCAATGTCTGTAAGATGCCATTTTTTTCTCAGCACGGTTAAAATTATAACTTTTATCACTTCCCATTTATACTGTATAAGCTATATCTCAGCCTGTGAAATACCACTGTTTCTCTTTCAAATCTTTTCCAAACCACAAACGACATTTTGGTTTTTTATGTAGCTGACACGTAAGATATGTTTAGATACCAGTTTAAATTGTTTTTTATCATTTAACATTGAATATTTTTCTTTCCATCAGGTTTAGAGAAATAGCAGGGGCCTTAGAAGCAGCACTTTCTGATAGCTTAGAAGAAGCACCAGGTAAATTTCCTGCACTATGCCTACCAACTTTTATAGTGTCTATAAATTGTTACCAGGTAATGATGAAGACTGCTTGTTAATGACCAAATCTTAAATACTTAAAATCACATTTGTTCCTAGTAAGTCAGATGAAAAGGCTAAATTAAGTCAGTAAAATGTGCAGCATGATCTTTCTTTATAAAATTCAGCTGACCTTTCTAAATTAGTATAGGTCTCCTATGGGGGGAATGAAAAGGTTATGCCATCTGTGTGTACCTCTTGCTTTAGCAGCTGTAAGTTTTTAAGTAGGAAATGAGGAAATAGCAGATTCTCTGCAGCATTTGTACTTGTTACAATTGGTAATGTTGGTGTCATACCAAGGAATTCTTTGTATGCCACATTGGCTGTAAATTGGGAAGTAACAGTAAATTCATATCTGTGGAGTGAATTTAGGACAGTGCATGGGCAGATCTAGAATTTTGAAAAGGAGTGTGCGGATGGTGAGATGCATCATCCCATATAAAACGACACATTTTTTCCAGTTAGGAATAAAATAGAAGCTTTACTAATATGCTAGGGCATAGGTCTGTATTATTTAGTTGAAGATTGAAGCAAAAATGAGTATAACTTATTTGGAATGAGCTAAAAATTGTCTGCAGGGCTGTGAAATAGGAGTTACGTTACTAGAAACAACTAACAGACAGCAGCATTGCAGTACAAAGGCTAGCTTGATTGGTGGAACATCAAAATCATTAAAAAGAAGAGAGGAGCGCAACCATTTGTGAAATGAAGAGTTTAGAAGGGGCCAGGTAGACTATAATGAGCCAAGAAGTCAGGAGACTCCCTCAGCACTGCCTGACTAGAAGTGCTCCTGGCACTGCCAGGTAATTGGTTTTAAACCTTGGGTGGACCAGGAATCAAAGAGGGGTTCAAGTGCTCCAGTGCACCTCCTTGGATATGCCCCTGGGAGGATGAATAATATTAAATAAGATTGAAGGAAGCTGGCTGGTGGTGTAAGAGTAGGACTTAATGCGCTTTTAGAATAAAGCATTAAAGCCAGAGAAGCTGTTCCTTCATGCAGTAGAAAGAGTATGAAGAAGAGCCAGCTAAAATCAGCACTTTTATAAAACGAACTAGATGTTCTAAGCGTATGACTGAGTTGAAAATCAGACAGCCAGGCTGTGGATGGAACACGCTGCTTTTGTTTCAAGTATTTATGCATTAATCTAGAAACTAAATGAGAAGTACTTAGCTCCCAGATAGTAAACTACTGAACAGTTGTATCAAAGCTACTTAAAAAGTATTACATTATGGATGTTACTTTTATGAGTGGTCCATAAATATTTGAAGTAGGCTCCTAGTACTGGCAGTTACAACACCATAGCTTGTTGCAGTTGTCAGTACAGGGAAGGATTACTGTTTTGATTGGCAGCTTGTATGCACTTGGTCAACATTGTAGTTTTTGGGGGTTTGTTGTAATGTCCCTTGTGAAACCTGGGATTAGATAACATTTCCAGAACTGGTTTTTGTTATTCCATCAGATCATCAGGGACCTGATTTGCGTTCTCACCACGTTTGCCAAGGGCGGTACTCTTATCTGTTGCCTTTATGTTGCACTTTCATACACAAAATAGTGGATCTTTGAGATTTACATCAGGGCTGTCCAATTTGGGCTGGCCATGTGCTACATGAGTTATATCCTGGGCTCCTGGAATTTCTCCCCTCCCACCCTTCAATCAGCCCACTGCCACATGGGCAGAGCTGGTGGTATGTGGTCCCTTGACCCACCAGCTACACAGGTGGTGCACAGCCTCTTGCTGCAAGGGTGACACACAGACCTCCAGGGCCCTCTCCTGCCACACAGTGGTGAGAGAGACAGTTGCAGGGGCCCATGGGCCACATGCTGGCCCCTCATGGGCTACCAGTTGGACAGCCTTAATCTAGAGGAATGTGGATCTGAACTTAAATAGTTCCTTTTAAACAATCTTACTCAGTTTTTGCCACCTTCAGAATAATTTGTGACTGCTGAAGTTTAGAATGTTTCAATTTTTAGAAGTCTATAATAAAACAGTTTAAATAAATTATTATAGGCTTTTAAAAAACAAAATCTTGACTCGTGATTAGTAACTTAACCTTTACTCTCTTCTTGTCTTTAGCTGAAAGCTCATACTGTCTGTTAGCCACTCACATGGTGTGGGTGAGTCTTTTGAAGTGTTGGTCAGATCAGATTTTTCTACCATTACTAACACACCGTTTGTGGAAACTTACCCTGCAAATCTTAGCACGCTACTCTGTGTTCATTAATGAGGTAAGAAAATAGTACCTTTTTAGGTGAAGAAATCCTTATTGTTGCATTTTTCCTTAGGTCCATGACACTAAAAAAGGTACCACTGCAAAATGTGTTCTGTGTTGCTGTTGTGTCAGTACTGTTTCAAGGATGTTCTTGACAGCCCGTTCACCAGCTGGTCATCTTAAAAAAAAGTTCTGTTGTTCACTGTAGTGTTCACTTCAGTTCTGTGTTATAGCTGAAACAACTAAACTGCTGACCCTTGTCACTTTATTGCTGGGAAATTATTTATTATAGCCTGTAGTGTTTAGAGCAATGATTCTCAATCAGGGTGTTGTGAGATCCTTTTAAGGGTGTACTGTTAGGTGTGCAAACACCAATATGTGTTTTCAACACCATGGACTCCTGTATGAAATCTCTGTGAATCATTCTGACCTGTTGTGGTCTTTCTGAGTGCTCTGCAACCGAAGAATTGCTCTATTATTTCTTCAGAGCCAAAGATGAGTGAAAGCTAAGGGCTTATATTTTCTGATGGGTGCCATGAGCGTAAGGTTGAGAACCACTGGGTTAGGGGGATATGATATGTTTTTACAAAGGTGAAAGTAAAGTAACTGTTGCATTTCTTTACAAAATGGAAAAAAATATAATCAAATTCATGACCCTCATGCCTTCTTCTGGTACAGTCTGAACTCGAGCACAGTGATATAACTTTGAACATCCTATTTTATTGACTTGACTCCAATACCAACTTTTTACACGCGTCTTTTTAAAAGAAGGTATATTTGAGTTTTATGTAATGCAACTCTTGGGTGATGCTGTGAAGGGTCAGAGTCTTTGAGGTCTTAGGTTTGTGTTTAAAAAACATGATCCTGAGAAAACAGGAATAAGCTTTGTGTTGATTGCTAATAACTTGTATGTGTTATTGGGATGGGGGGAAAGATGGGAGGTCTGCCCACATCAGAGTTGCATATCCAGCTTGTGAAACCTTTTCTAAGAAGGATGCTCATTGTTCATTCTGATATCACAGCTTTTGCTCAGGCCTATCTCTAATGAAAGTACAAAGGACAACAAAAAATCTGTGGCAACCATTAGCAAGGAATCTGCTGTAAACCTGAACTCAAGAGAGGATCAGGGAAGTGTCCCTTCTCCAGAAACACAGCCGTTACCTTCTATATCCAATATTCAGCTGGTGTATGTAGCTGCAGATCTGGAGAAACTTCAAGAGCAGGTGTGTGTGTTACTGTACGTACATGAAAGCTTTATTTGACCGCATGTTCGTACTGTTTGGCAGCATTCATAACTTATTAAATATTTACCAGTGCTGAAACTAGCACAGTCTATGTTTAGGAGATATTAAAAGGACTGAAGCCTTACAGAGACTGTCTTATATTTAATTTGGATCTTACCTGTCTCAGAGAAACTAGTTCAGGTACAGATAATTTTAAGGGTTCTAGCTTCTCAGTATAACACTGTTTTGATAGTTACTATACCAGCTGATGAAACCAGGAATTTTGTTCCTTTTTGGTATGAACGAGCCAGGCTCTCACCGCTCCCTGTGTGACATCGATTATCAGAAAGACTGGTATTCAGGGACACCATACACAATTGGGTTCCATGTTCCAACACATTAGTAGTTTAGACAGACATTTACTGTTTTACAAGTCTCACAGCTAGCTTACATTTTGCAGATCCACTGTACTTTCAGTTGATTCAGCAGAAGTTTCCCTAACCCTTGAATGAACAGACTTGCTTTGGAATAATGTTGTTTTATTAGCTTGAGATGTTTTGCATTGGGGATGGAAATGGGAGAGGGCACTGAATATGTAATACTTTATTGTCATGTCACACTTTGATCATGTTAATTCCCATCTAATAGTAATTAAAATATAGACATTGATTAACATAGCCCTCTCTTCTTTTTAATTTATGACATATTTGCAGAACTTAAAGAAACAGATCCAAATGCATTCATAACAGGTGGTTGTATGTGTGTTTTTGTTCAGCTTCCTGAACTCTTAGAAATAATCAAACCAAAACTTGAAATGATTGGCTTCAAGAATCTATCCTGTATCACAGGTAAAGGTGTGGGTTTGACTTTTAGCCATTGCTAATTTTTTTTAGCCATAGCTGTTAATTAAAAATGGTCCTGGTGGGAACCTTCAGCTTCAGAAAAGTTTCCACTAATCTGGGGAGGAAAGTCGGGTGTTGGAACTGAACTGGCTATGAAATGAGCTGTTAGTAGATATTTCTCCTAAATTGTGTAATGCTATATATAGATATCAACTGCAGTAATATCAGGGTTGTGTGTTGAAGGTGTTACATCTTGTTCTGGGACATTGGGAATGGGAAAGGTTGCATCAGTTTGCTAATTTTTGTTGTTGAGCAGGGTAGCTTAGTTTACACCTCAGTCTTTGTACTTCAACAGGAGCCTTAGAAGACTCGAAGGCTTCTTTATCAGCCTGCATGCCCACTTTGAATGATAGGATTATTCAGGATTTAAGTGAGAACTGTTTCAGTTACCTGAAAAGTGCCTTAGAAGTTCCAAGGCTCTACAGGAGAACCAATAAGGTAACAACAATGCTTGTGAAAAGAATGCTTTCATGAAAAATTTAGACTGTGAATGTAATCAGACGATGATTCAGAGTTCCTATCAAACGTATTTATAAGAGCTTGCAATAACCCCCTTCTATGAGTACTTAATATTTATCAGCTGGCTCAATTATTAAAATAGTTAAAACCTACTGTCACCCATGGAGTACAATGCATCTGTCACGGAGTAAATTGGCTCCATTCTGTAAGAAAAGTGAAGTGGACACACAATGCACAACATTACACTAGTGTAAGTCACTCCACCCCTGGGGTAGAGTTACCCTGCAAAGTTAGGAGTAACTGTACACTGGTATATAGTCACATGTCCACTGTGCTAATCATTTTCAGGTAACCCAACCTTCTGGTCACTGCAAACTTGCTCCCCTGTCAGGCACTGTGCTTAGGAGGACTGGTCATGTATCTTTTCCTTACTATGGAATAAACTTAGTAAAGAGTAAAATGTGATGTTATATATTCTGTAATAATTGTGTTTAAGCCACCAATGGGTGGGAACCTTCAAGAACTATTATTTTTCAGAACCAGATGTATAGTTTTGTCCAATGTACTGCAGCCATCTGTATACCCGTAGCTATTTTTTGCTAAGAGGGGAGATTGTCGTGGTCATGGAAAGTGACCTCCTATCTCCTCCTCAGATTTGGTTCTCATCTTCCCAGTCAAACTTCTCCAGAGCTGAAGGTGAAAGTGCATCGGCTCTACCACTGCTCTCCCTCTTCTGTGAACAAATGAGAAACTTTAAACTGTGGAGCTGTCAAGCCTGTTCATTTGGTGCAGGAGTGTCAAGCTCATGTGACCCTACAGGCCAGATGAGTAGTGTGGGGCCAGTCCATGGGCCAGTTGAATGGCATGTGGTAGATCACTGGCACATGGCTGGCCCCACAGCTGGGCTTGTGGTCCTTCCCTTATTCCTCCCTTACCCCCTCTTTCCCCTCCCCCCGCTTCCCTCACAAGCCAGACCCAGCACATGTGGTACTTGCTGTGGCCGGTCGGCCACGTGCCACATGGTGCCTGCTCCAGATAAGCCAGGACCCCCCACTGTACGTGGTGTCTTCCACTAGAGTATCCTGGGGGGTGGTGTACCATGTGCAGCATGGGTTCCAGGTCTGCTGGAATGGGCACCATGTGCTCTGGCCCTGCATATACCACGTGCTGTGTGTGGGTCAACTCCAGACCCAGAGACAGCACAAAGGGTCACATGGTTTCTATGACTGATCTGTCCACAGGCTGTATCTTTGACAGGCCAGATTTAGGGAATATCACATTTTCCAAGAGTGGGTGGAAAGCAAATATTAGTTGGAGGGGGCACTGCTCTTCAGACAGTAGTTTGCCATATTACTATGACCAGCAGGTTCCATGTTTGCTGCTACTTAATGTCACTCAAGATTTTCTGGTTTGTTGAGTAATTTTGTGATTCTTTCCCTTTCCTGAGCATGGAATCTTGTCTGCCAGATTGTCATCAACAAAGTCTGCCTTTGGGCTTATATGTCTTGCATTTGCATCACGCGGTAATACTTGGCACTAGAGTTTTTAAATAACAGAATATTTATCTCCTCTTTTCCCCACCTTGCTTTCCACATCATCTACCAGGAGGTACCAACTAAAGCTTCACCATACGTAGACAGTGCTCTGAAACCTTTTTATCGGCTGCAGAGTGAGTACAAAGATATATTGAAACAGCCCATGGTTCGTCAGTGGTTGGAAGGTGCCCTCTCTGAAAGTACACAGAAGTAAGTAAAAAAGAAGTAGTCGTATATAGAGCAATCACATTATTAGCTGAAATTCTGATGTGTTTTGGTTTGTCATATCTGAAAAATGATCTATAATTTAGTGCAGTTGTAAAAATAAGGCAAGAATGTATTGCTCTGTCATAATAGTATATCTATGCAAACATTGTGTAGTCTATATAAACAGGATGCAGGCCTGAGAGTTGGCAGATTGGATTCTTGTTCACAGCTTTGCTTCCAGCAAGCTGCGCAACCTGGGCTTAAGCACGCACGCATTGCTTAGGCCCTCTCTACATGTTACAGGTTTAGCGCAATTAATTGGTTAATTGCATAATTACATGGAGACCAGTTATAGGTACAAAATAACTATCATACAATAAAAATCTCCAACCAGCTTTAAAGTTAGACCTCAAAAACGCATACTAACTTTATAGCTGGTTGCTACTGAGCTTTAATTTGCACATGTAGAGCTCTCTCCCATGCGTTGGGAGCCCCATCAGCTGGTGGGGCTCCCAGCCTCAGGGGTGCAAACCTGGAGCCCTGGGGACCACAGCTGCTGCAATTCCCAGGGCTCAGGGGTGTGTGAAGACCCTTAGGCCCACACAGGGCTCTGGGTCTTGGCTCTGCTTCCTGCATGGCTGGGACCCAGAAACCCCACAGCTGACAGGGTCCCAGTTCCTGGCTGCACCTCACACACAGTGAGGACCTGAAGCCCTATCAACTACAGGGTCTCTGGGTCTTGGTCTACATGGCCCCTCATGGCTTGAAGCCACTTCAGCAAAGGGGCCTCCCAGCTATGGGTGGCTGCTTTTTGCCCATGCAGGGGGAGCCCAGAACCAGACTCCCCCTACACTGCCAATAAGGCATGAATCAGGTCCAAAATACAATCCACAATCACATGGCTTGGCAGATATGTAGCATGGCAGGAGGAACTATTGTGTGGTTCACACATTAGTTCCAGTTGCACCTTTACCTGCATGTTTGGAGGGAGCCTTAGTGTTGCAGTGCTGAGCTGACACAAGAACCTGTCTCATTTTCAGAAGTGAATGAAGTGCTCTGGAACCCCTCACTGACTGTTAGCGGACAGCACTGAAGTACCTTTAAAAATCTGTACCTTAACCTTTCTGTGTTGCTTTTCTCTTCATCTTAAACTGGATGCAGTGGTTACCCACTTTTTTAAAATGGCTTTGAGATTTGGGAATGAAGCTCTTAATATTTTTAGTGTTTCATTAAGTATTTCATAGTTGAAAATGGAAAAGGATTCAGGTATCAGCCATCTCAGAATGTTTGAAGTCTAGGAATGATATTGGTGGGAGTTTTAGTTTTGCACTGTTGTGTATATGGTGTGTTGTATGACATACACATTTATGTAGGAGCTTAACTCTCTTTCTCATTACCCTGTCTTTACTCAGGTATTATGAAACTGTATCAGATGTTTTGAGCTCTGTAAAGAAAATGGAAGAGAGCTTGAAAAGGCTAAAACAGGCCAGAAAAACTGTAACTTCAAACAGTGTTGGTTCAAATGGGGGCATGAGTGATGATAACAAAATCAGACTACAGTTAGCCCTGGATGTTGACTACTTTGGGGACCAGGTAAGGTGCAATAGTAGCAAGTTTCATTGTTATGGAATTACCATTACTGAGTATTTTGTGGCCTAACTTAATTGTTCAGTTTTATTCAAATTGACTAGAAAGAGCTTTCAGTAGAGATGTCTATGCTGGATGAGGTTTCTCCTTTAAACCTTTGAGCTTTTCCTGTTCTGCAGAAACTTGTCAGATTTATCATAAATGTTCCTGTTCCAGTGGGGGCAAACCTAAGGCCAGTCAAAATACTTTTCTGAAAGTCCAGAGTAAGAGACTATTCCCAGAACAGCCAGTGGTTATGGCAATCCCCTGAGTACCAGAGTTCCCAGGTTCAAACCCCAGCTTTGCTTGCCTGTTCTGGGCTGGATGGGTGTCTCTGTCTTTCATGCTGTATCCAGAAATTTCAGCTGAGGAAGCTGTATTAAAAATCGTTGCATGCTTCCTTAAAATCAGTGTCATCAGCATTTCGTAACGAAAGCATTTGACTGGAAAAATCCCCACTGGCTCTAGCTATGGATTGCCTGGAAAATGTAAATGTTTGCCTGAAAAATGTGTGTATGTTAATTGAAAAGAGATAACAGAACAAAGTTGGAGAGGAGCCTTTTTATGGAGAGCAGCATTTGCTGGGATGGCATTTGCTTCAGGTCAGCATAAGGCAAAGTTTCATATGGTCTTTTCTAAATGTTTTTTCTAGTAATATGATGCCAATTAGCAAGGTGTCATTTGCTTATCCCACAAAAGCAGAAAAAGGACAACAATTTAATATTTTTTCCTATGGCTTTTTTAGATGCAAAAGATGGGATTGCAGACGAGTGACATAAAAAGTTTTTCAGCTCTCACAGAGCTTGTTCAAGCTGCCAAGGATCAGACTGCTGTGGAATAGCCTTAAATATTTTGGAAAACATATGAAGAGGAACCATGTCTCCAAAAGACGGGAGAATTGTTATACTGTTCTCTCTCAAATGCTATATAGCAACAAAGTGCTTCCTGACGTATCTCCTGCAACAAGTTAATGCACCTTTTGTCAAGATACAGACTTGTGTGACCAAAAACACCACCTAAGAGAGCATATACCAGTCCTTCCATTGTATGGAAGACGATTTGAAGAGTTCTAAATGTTTTATTGTAGAATAAAAACAAAGAAAATGTCTTTATTTTTATTATAAATCTTACAATATGGAAGAATTGATTTAACATGATTAAAATAAATATGTAATGAATTCTGTCTTTCTGTTTGTATCATTTGAGTGGGAGGAGGGTTGGTGCAATGGACTGTGTGGCTCTAGGGTTTTTTCAGTTAAAGGCCCTTGGCAGGCATGCAGATAAAGCTGTGATGGGGTCTGATGCGTGATCCAGTTATATTTCCAGCCATGCCAAATGGACATGGCAGGAGGTATGATTGTGGGATCGAGCATCAGATCCCATCACACCTTATTGCTGGTACAGGGGGAGCCCAGGATATGGATCTGGAGCTCCTCTTGAACCAGCAAGTACCAGGCTCCCATGGCTGGGATCCTCATCAGCTGCTGGGCTCCCAGCCATGTGGGGACACCATGCACCTCTGAGGCTGGAGGACATTAGCTGGTTCGTGTAATAACTTTGTGGCTTATTCCTTGTTCTGTCACACCATTAACTGTATTAACATGTAGTCGGGTAACTTCTTGAGACACGATTACAAGGTTATTCGCATCTTAAGTGTAACATGTGCCAGGTACCAGAATAAAAGATGAAAGGATCGAAAGCTCTTATTGTCCCTTTAGCTGGATTTGTCTTCACATCTTGTATATGGAGTAGATTCTTATTATCCAGAAGGATCCTAGGGCACTTCACAGATCATAAGATAGCTTCATTCGCCAGTAAAATGACTAATTTTCAGTTTTGCAAGGGGTGTATAGGTTGGCTTGAAATTGTAGTTGAAATTTAAATCTATTTAGAAATATTAAACTGACAAAAAGTTAGTGCCATAGCATGCTGAAGACAATCTGAACGCATCAGATCTGGCTATTTCAGTGGAACAAATTACTGTGTTTTTAGGAACTCTGACTGAAAATTGAAGAAAGAAATAAAAAATTGCTGAGTGGAGTTCAGATCTCGGTTTAACCTGTGAAGATCTGAGAATAGTTTTGGGATCGGGTCATATGAAAGACTGGAAGTATAGTCGGGAGAAATGCATAACCGAGATCAGCAGCATTTGAGTGAGATCTGTCTCATTGTAAATGAAGGGAAGATGTTTTCTTTCCCATAATGGGTTGTTGATACTTCCAGGAAAACTGCAAAACCCACTTCTCTTAATAGGCATTTGGGAAGACTAGACACATACAAATGAAAAAGTGACGTGTTCTAGGTATCTTACGATGCAAGTGGGTGGTGTCTAATTTTCTGTGGGAGAGGTTTTAAAGTGGAAATTTTTAACAAATTGTATTATTACAAATATATGAACATTTTAAAGTTTTTGGAAAGGTCTAGAAGACTGACTAGGTCCAGCTCCTCTTCACGAATTATAGAAGACCCTAAAGATATCTGGCCTTCATGCTGTAGTAGAAGCAGCAGTTTGGTTAGTGCAACTCTTATACACTGAATGATGCCAAAAGAAGTAACACTGTGGTACTTACCTTGTTGTTAACTCAAACATATATGATCTTTACTGTCCTGGTTGAAGACAATTTGATGTGCCTTTGCATTATGCTAAAATTGGATTTTGTGTTTAAAGTGGGCTGTGCATGACTGCTTCCTAGGTTGCTCTTTTCAAATACAATTGAGGGGTGCGGTTTGTTTGTTTGTTCTAAATAAAATACCACTTTAATTTTTCCATTCCCCAGTTATAACTGTCAGTTTCTCATTGAGTTTGAAATACAGTGCACAACACTCTAAAAGAACAAAAGAATATGCTGGTTTATTTTGGCAGTTGTAATGGCTTGTGCTATTCCCCTGCGAACACTTTTTTTTAAATGAAACTTGATAGGACCTGGATTAAAATATTATCATCGCAATGCCAGTGAAATAGTGGAAAGTCTTGTGTGACTACTATCCTCTGATTGCCATTTAAATTGCAGTCTGCAAATCTTCCAAAAATTGAGGAATTGTCACCTTAGTGCCATGAGAGTTGGCCATGTGTGTTAGCTAGAAGTATGATTTCCTGATTATAGTACATTGAATTCAGTAAGATTAAATGATCTTGGTGACTCTTCATAAAGTTTAACTCTTAAAATGATAGTTCTCCAGCTGTTGCACTATTATATTGTTATTCTAGCTTGTAATGTGTTGAATTCGTTTTGGAGTTGCATATGTATAACCAAGCAGAAGTTGGCTTTTGTTAATTGTATAGCACCATCCATCTGATGATCATATTATAGCACTTTACGAAGTTGAGAAAGTTATCTCAGTTTACAGACATAATGATGGGTACAGAAGTTAAGCCACTTGCCAGAGGTCAAATAGTTAAGAATAGAACCGTAGGTGATCTCTGCCACAAGCTCGTGGTTCATCCCACTAATATTTTTCTGTGAGGAATATATGTGGATTTAAATCTTCCAACTATATTGCTGAAGGAATAGTGAATCCCAAAGCCTGTATGTGTAGGGTGAACATGCGTCCTGGTTTGCCCAGGACAGTCTCGGATTTTGAAGGCCAGTCCTAGTTGGCTGGCAAAAAATTATGAGTCCCACAATCACGGGGGTGCAGGGTGCAGGTTGGCAGGGAGGTGGAGCCTCATGGTGCACCAGGCAACTCCACCTCCCAACCAGACTGCACCTATGCCTCTGCCTGCCAACTTCTGTCACTGTCTGCAGCATTGCCACCGAGTGGGGTGGGGGGGATGCAGTGTCCTGGGTGTCCCAGATTTCCTTGTGGTCACCCTATGTGTGCGCTACTGAGTGCTGATGGAGGAGTATTTTAGTTTGTTTCTCTACATCTTCCAAAATCAGGGAGGCTGGAATAATCTATAAAGGGAATAGTAAGGTGAGACTGGTACCTTGTGGCTTTTTGCTTTGCTTTGCCAAACCTTGATTTCTATAACCTCAAGCTGCTACACTTACAAAATTCAATTTAGCTCTTTTTCTACCAAAGACCAGCATAACATAGGGTAAACAGCAGTCATAGCAATATTATGCAACGTTGTTGTCTACATTTTTATTATCTGTTCTCTTTTTGATTGAAGAATGACATTCCATTATCTTATGGTGAAACCAGAAGAAATTTACAGAACTTCTCCATAAGATGTCATCTTAACAAGGGACAGCTGAGACATGAAATGGCTTCCTCTTTGAAAGCAGTTTAGCAGAGCACAGTTTCCAAATACTGTAGGCTATTTTACTATTCCTTTCAAAACTTCAATTCCTTTCAAATTACAATTTCAATTTACAATTCCTTTCAAATCTCCCCCCCCCCCCCCCCCCCGAGACCATGTGCAGTTATAAGGGATCCAGACTATGCTTGCTTCTTGCCCTATTGTAGGGTTTGTAAGCATCTTCTGAGTTAAATAATTGGTAGTTTTAAAAGCCTTAATGGACTTTTTTTGTGGAGTTTCCTGTGTTCTTTTTTGATTACAGAAATTTTTGCTTGGGATACAGTATATTTTGTAGGGAGGGGACAGAGAAAGGTCGCTATAAATGGCATTTGTGTTGTGGTAGAAAGTAGGGCTGTGGTCACCGATTCGATTCGGATTTGGAGATTTGGCCTCCAAATCGGGCCAGATCTCCGAATTGAATCAGGAGACTCTTTAAAGCTCTGAATTGGTTCGGAAAAGATTCAGAGGTTCAGATCAGCCAGGGAGAGGCAGACACAGCCGGGCGGCTACAGTTTCTCCCACAGCTCCTCCAGCTGTGTCTGCCTCTCCCCGGGCTGGGGGAACTGCGGGCGAAGCCCCCATAGCTGCCCTGCCTGGCCTCAGCCTACCAGCACTTTAAAAAAAAACAAACAAACCCCAAAAAAACAAAAAACCTCACACTCACTAACTGGAGCAGTCGCCCAGAGCCCGGCAGCGCTCAGCCCCCCAGGCCAAACTCCCAGACAGCGCACAGCACCCTGTCAAGCCACACTGCATCTGTGCCATGAGACAGCTGCTGCGCAGGTGCTAGACACGGGAGGTGATCCCCGCTGCCCCACACTGTACAGGGGGGCTGTGCCACAAGCGCCAAGAGGCCCCAATCGCCACTGCTGCAGCTGGTGAGTGTGGAGCCTTTTTTATTTATTTATTTTTTTTTTTTAAGTGTTGGGGGGCTGGGCAGGGGATGGGGCTAGGCAGGGCAGCCATGGGGGCTTTTCCCGCCACTCCCCCAACCCGGGGAGAGGCAGGGGGCGCCCGGGGAGGCTGGCCACCCAGCTGTGCCTGCCTCTCCCTGGCCGATCCGAATCACTGAATCTCTCCGAATCAGTGCTGAATCTTTCAAAGCCAATTCAGCCAAATGGAATGGGGACAGTGATTCAAATCACCAGATCGAATCACTGTCCTCCGAATCGGCTGAATCCAAATCGAATATTCCCTATTCACACAGGCCTAGTAGAAAGGTTTTTTAGAAGAGGAAGTTTTTTACAGTGCTTCATAAAGGTTGGTCAGGCTCTCTAGTTTCATCTAATCTCCAAAAGAAGATGCTACAGATTAATGTGGTATGCTTTTCTGTGCTGCTTTCTTCCCCCAATTCTCTTCTTCCATCAATAATTATATTTCTAAAGGTGTGAAAACACTAGCAAAGATGGTCTTGTTTTAAAAAGCAAATAGCTTATAACTGCATTTCTGTACTACATTTTTCAATTAGCTCAGAGCTTAAGTACTTCACTCTGTGAAATCCTGTTAAAAAGAACAGTAGACCCTTCTTTTCCAAATGTGTTAGCTGCCAGTGCACGGTTTCCTACGTGTCATTCTGTGGACTATTGGTAAGCCATAGACCTCCCCAGCGAAACCACTGTATTAATTAAACATGGAATTTTTGGAATGTGCACAAAGAAGGGCATTATTGTACTAATAAGAAAAAGCTGAGGAATGTAATAGGGAAAAAAAACAAGGTTTATAAGCAGTTATTAAGTTGGAGATAATGTGGTAATGTCTGAGTCTGGGTAAGTGAACAGGAGCTTGTGGAAAGAATGTGTTTACAAGGGGGCTTAAGATTTTATATTACTCCCCTGTTAATAAAGTGCTAGTGTTTTTGGGGTTTGGGATTTTTGCGGGGTTTGGGGTTTTTTTTTGATAAATGGCTGATGTTGTTAATGGTGTGCTTGTGTGGCATGCTGTGCAGTTGCATAATGTAGAGTATCATAGGGTGCCCCCAATCATTCACTCAGTGACTCCTGCACAAATACATTCCAGCATAGGAGTAAAAAGACAATAGCTTCTTCTAATTGCCAGCTCTGCAAATTCAACCATGAGCATGAAAATCAATCTTAGCTTCTGCTGGCTTGAGCATCATCACTGGTACTAAAGACTGTGCAGCTGGCACCGAGTCCTGTTGGTGCCTGAGAATTCATGTTTCTCTGCTATGGTTTTACTGGATTTCTAGGAAGAAGGCATATAAAATCAAGTTAAAAATGTAACAGGCACTGGGAGCCAAGCTGAGGAAGATGGATTTTATTTAGTGTCTCCTGGTTCTTTAAAACCTCTTTCATTCTTGCAGTGCTTGAGCCAGCATTTGTCCATTCCCAGTTTTCATTAACTCCCTTGCCTCTCTCAGTACATCTTTCCTTTCCTCTGCATGCTCCTTTTTCCTTCCCTCCCTGTGACTGCTCCATGTAGCTCCTGGAGGGCTAGGTGTTTTTTCCCTCCTCATGCAAGGGCAGAGCAGGGGTTCACCCAACCGTGTACAATTTCCTGAGTACTATTATTGCTGTTTCTATCACAGAACTCCCTAGCAGCATAGCTGGGAGAGTTCAATTTTCTGAATGCATTATCCTCCTCTCCCCTTTCCCCACATATACATATTTCATTCCTCCCAAGAAAAATTAAGTCATTTGTGGGCTAAAATTTCTGGCTGTCACTGATGCAGCCCTGCACCTCACTTAAAGGATAGGATTAGGGTTCCCCCCCCCCTAATAAATAACACATTACTGAACGTTTTTGGAAATTGCCTGTGTTTAAGCTGACAATTATAGCTAGGTTTCTAATGTGTGCTAATTTACAGCTTGTGCTTTAAAGTGTGCCTTTCCCACTTCTTATGACCTGCTGTATGAATTAAGGGATTTAGTTTCATATTGTGCATAAGCTCTTCAACTATAGTACTGAGAAAGCAGTTTGTAAATGTTTTATTTAATTTTTTTTTCCTACTTTGCATATTTACAATAAGATTTGCTTCTGTATACAATGCAAACACAATATTTGAATGTTACGGTGTCTGGACTATGTGCAGCAGAATCAAATAAATATATAGCTGTGATTTCAAAAGCCATGAATAGTATTTCCAGGTTTGGCTGTATTATTTTTATTCATTAGGACACACAAAAGGTTACGTTCTGTAGTATTTTACTGTTTGTATAGTACCATCAGTTGCCCACGTGCTTTCGTCTTCACAGCTGTCTGCAAGAGATAAAACCCTGACTCAACTGCAATTAGCAGCAAAGCTTCCATGCACTTCCACTGGACCATGGATACACCCATAGTTCTTGCCTCCATAGGTGTTCAGTGCAAGAGCCTGAGAAACTCTGATTAGAAACAACTAGCACACTCCTCTGATTATAGTAAGAAATAGATTGGACCATATGAACCTGATGGGTCATTCCCTGTCTCCCTTTCGCTCCCTCCCCCCAACTGGTACTTACACCAGTAGCCCAAATTACTTCCAAAGGGGCTACTTAATTGAGCTTAAACTACTCAATGAAAGTCAAGGCTTATAGATCCGCACCCTACATAATAGTCATCTTTTCCATTAAATCCAAAATAAATAGCTCTTAATCTATGTCTAAAGAAGGATTTCAGTGGAACATAATTAAAAAGAAAGGAATACCAATGGGTTGTAAGACTATATTCCACTTTCATTTCCTTACCCAAAACAAAACCCTTTATTTTAAACCTTCCCAAAGCATGCTTATTCTATCTGAAGGTAAAACTGGTAGAAGTGGTATGACCAAAACCAATGCCATGTACCATGAGCAGCAATTTAAGGGAAAAATACTGCTGATCTAACCTGAAATCCTTGTAAGTCCTGATTTTGTTCAATACTTCTTATGCAGCACAAGTATGCCTCTCAAATCTGACCAACCTTTCAAAATCTATAAAAGCGTTGAAGATAACTCTCTTCACTGAACACCAATTATGTTGAGCCATCAATTTCCTAAAATTGCAGTCTTTAATGTAGCTATTCATGCTGCCATAACCACGTTTGCAGTGGATAAAAAGAACTTTTTCTCCTATTGTGCGTCTGATTGGAAGAAAAACAATAAGATGCTAGTAATAACCTTGCACCTTGTGAAAAGTTGTACTGTGAGTACCATTTGCTTTATTTCAAAGCTAACTACACAAGCTCAAGAGGATTCTAGCAGCAGATGAATTGGAGGTTGGAAATGTGGGATGCTTTGCTTATGTACTAACTTTCCATTTTCCCCTCCCTTGCATTTAAACACCATTCAGTGGGTTTGCTACTCTACCAAGGAAAAGCATTGCCTTTGAATTCTCCTCATAAATGGCCAGTAGGAATGGGTTGTTCAATGTAACTTCCATGGGCACCACATCTTCATTTTGTTCTGAAGGGTCTTCCACCTCATCTACTAGGTTCAGTTTGAAAAAGGCCTTATTTATAACCTGAAAAGCAAATGCATAAGTGAGTCTGGAGTCTCCATATGAGGTGATAAATGAAAACTAGCATAAATGAAGAAACAACAAATGAAGTAGCTAGTGAATTAGAGGTAAGTAGTAACTACACCAGAAGATGCAGTTTACCAATGTTTGTGGAAGGCCTGAGAGTGTCTGACATAAAAGACTTAGCCTCATCTAGTCAAAGCTTGACTGTGGATAAAATCCTGGCCATGTTGGAGCCAATGGCAGAACTTCTATAGACTTTATGAGGGTAGAATTGCTCTGTTTTCTGGGTAGAGGATTGATACATAGGTAAAAATCATTATTGACACTCCTGGGGCAATAAAATCTGCCTTAAACTGCAAACACTTTCCCTCCATTGCTCAATGACCTTTTTTCAGCTTTGGCAATTATCCCATTCTAAAGCCTTAGTTATTTGGATATTAACTTCCAAAGAATAAAATCTTACAGGATTCAAAGAAAAGGCATTAGTAACATAGCAGTCGACCACTGTCTGTTAGAAGCACCAGTAGTTAGCCATGTTAGTCTGAAATCACTCAGAAAGCTGGGTAAATATACACCTTTATAAACTAACTAAATAAGATGTACATCAGACAGATTAATATCATATATAGACAGATATATGTTTGGATATTGGTCAGTGATGGACTGAGTTTTCGTAGTGCTTTGAATCGCATTAATGCTACTTCAAAAAAGAGCATGTCTGATAACCACAGATGGAAGAGAGAGTAAAATCCCTTTCATCCCAATTCTATATGCAGTTGCTTTCTTGACAACAGAGTGCTTTCAGTTGCAGATTTCAGATAATTTACTCCAACATACCCCTAGAAAGGTAGTGCAGTTCCTGGCTATGAGCTCCAAAGCATTCAGAGAGGGCCCTGGACAGCCCCCGTGCAGCACTGCAGGGTTTACTCTTTGAGCTGTACACAGCAGGCTAAATGTGGCCAATCGTATCTCTGTTTCTGGACAAAGTTCGACAGACTTGTAATTGATAAGGATCGTGTCATCTTATGTAGTTGTACAAAACCTAATACAATGAAACCTCAAATTGGATTTTTGTGACACTGAGGTGATTAGACAATAGCAGTTATATTTGCAGCTTCCCATTAGCAGACTGTTCACTCCTTTTCAGTTCAGTGGCCATCTGTCCCATACTACTGGCATTTAGTTGATTTAGTTATATTTAATTGAAAAAGATATATGCTGAAAAGAATGACGTTAAAAAATACTGATAATGCATACTGTACCTTTCCAACTGTGGGGTTAGCATTGCTTATTTTACTGAGATCTGCCTCCTTCCCCAACAGTGTAGACAAATTCATGTTCACAAGAAGTTCCTGAAGGTCATATGTGCTCTCTAATGTTAACTGTGGCAAGGATAATTTAATTTGTCTGCAGAAAATATACATAAACAAGGAACAATATGAATGACTTATTCCCCAGTGTCTCTGAGGAAGTCCCCCTTCTCCACCCATAAGATGCCCATGGGTCTTGCAGATGGTGAGGCTCAAGCAGAGGTATAATGCAGTTATCAGGTGTAACAGGCCAATAATTAATGCATGTTGTAATTCATTCCATGTCATGATTGAGAAAAGAGTACAGTATGGCCCTAATCCAGTGAAGCATTTTTAGTCATGAGATTAGGGATGAGTAACTCATCTTGATGGATTACTACTTTATATAAAATGTTTTGTTTCTTCCTTTTAAGGCAAATACTTGGGATGAAATTCTGGTCCTGCTCAATTCAAACTCCCATCTACTTCTGGGTTGAAATCCTGGTTCCAATAAGCTTAGTTACAAATAAATGGAAAAGACAACACAAAGATGAAGAAAAATAATGACTCAAAAGCTCCTGCGCTTTCACTAGCTAGGACAGACAACTATTTGTTTTTATCATGCTTATAGACATGTGACCTGACCACCCTTTTGTAGGTGGGAAGAAACCTCCTTTGTGCCTGGGTACTGAGAAAATAGCCGGGTTGCATGGGTGTTCTGGAAGGAGTGTTATACTTTGCTCCAACTATTAGGAGTTGGACTAGCATGAACCATTAAGTTGTTCTGTTAGTAACTTTTGTTAGAGATTGCACGTATATTTAAAATGTACCTTGGTGACAGGTCTTGCAGCCATTCGGAGGATTGCAAAGAAATTTCGGACTCTATTGTGTTCAGGTCATTGCCATTGATAGGCTGTACCAAGACCAGTAGCGCATTCTTGGTAAGGGGGATTGTGGTGATGGAAAAATGCTTTCTGGCATCTCTTTTGTACTGAAACAATCCAGTTACTGACATCATAGGCACCAAAATCTTTGTGCTGGAATCAATCCAGAACTCCTGGGGCTCTTTCAGTTGGCACGCTTTCTTCACATTAGCTGAAAAGCACAAGGGAGTTTTCTTTAAGGAATTCAAACAATACATATTGTGATTAAAGAGAACTACATTTATAAAATCCTATTTGACTGCTTTGCCGGCACATGATCAGCTGCTGACTGTACCTTTAGGCAGAGGCTAGTATATCTATGACATGACACCTGACAGAATGTCAGACTGAAGGAACATCAGGCTGTTGTTAAAACCACTGTGGACATTCAGCAGTTATTCTCAAGCAGCCCTTTTTCAGGCACTGGGGTTTCCATTCACTCAGCTGTCTGCACACTGTTTGCTTACAGTCCTGGGTGGCAGCCCTGTCTTGGCCTCTTCTACTCCCACACATTCTATGCATTGGCTGCTCTTATCCCAATTTCCCCCCCATCTACTGAGGGTGCAAAAGGGTCCAGAAACAGAACCATTTTTTTTCTGCCTTTTTTGTAGGAGAAGGTGCAGGGAAGCAATTGGGTGAGCTAGTGACAGGCGGGGAATATGAAACTATGGGAGGAGTCCTCTCCCTTCCATGCCAGAGCTAAAGCCAAACACAAGTGATAAAAGCACCAAAGCAAAATGATGATGTTAGGATCAGTTACTTGTAGGTTGAAAATAATCCTTCCTGGTTAACTTAAACCAGAGTCCCCCAGCGTCCCAGATGCTTTGTAGCCTTGGGTGGGGCTCTGCTCCAGAGAACTGAGCTTGCCTTGCCCCTCTGCTCTCTGGCTGGAGCTTGGGCAGAGATTTGCAGGCACGGGAGGATCTGCCTGGCTTCCCCCTGACCCCCACCCTCCTCACCATGCACTGTTCAAGCAAGTGGACATACCCTGCATGTGGTATGCTAGCTAATGCTGAGACATGTCTGTGTAAGGCCGACAGGACAAAGGCAGACAGTACAGTGTCCACTTAGGGCTTTTTGGAGCTAATCAACGGGTAGCTGGTAATGACCCTCCATTCCTTCCTTGGAAAAAGTTGTTTAAGAAGAGCTTGAACTAATGTGAGAGGTTTTTGTTTGGCTGATGGGCTGATAAATGCTGTGTAACTCCCTGCTGGCTCTGTCACTGGAGCAGCAAGGGGGGGGCAACTTCTCCCTAATCAGAGTGTCTTGCCGGGGTCTGGCCATGTCCCCCTCACTCAGCTCTGTAGAAGGGAAGGGAGGGCTGCTCTAGTATCCCCACCTCCCCCCCCCAGCTTCTAGCCCAAGCCGCTGCAGGCGTGTGCCTGCATTTCCTCAGTTCAGAGGGGATGTCTGTACAGTTACAAACTGGTTCTGCCTAGCCAGGTTAAACTAACATGCAAAAGATTGAATCAATTCAGGTTCAGGCTTTTTGAATGTCTGTCCCTAGCCAATGAGAACAACTTTAACTTTAAAGATTCTGAAGTGCTAACTGCCTCCAAGCAGGCTACAGGGGCAGTTCTGCAACACTTTCTAAATATAGCCTTTTTCTTCCCCATTAAGTTGTAAGTACCATCTCCTGTCTCTTACCCCTTTTGCTTCTTCTCAGGTTAAAGTTTCAACATGAACTCTGCTCACAATCTAATCATAGCCATAGATCAAACCCTGCTTGTCTGCAACTCATGCGGTGGGTTGCTCTTGTGAGTAAGGCAAGCAGGTGAAAAAGAGCAAAGTGAAGCCCTATTTTAGAAACTAAAGCTCTTGGGTGGAGAGGGTTATTATCTTTTAACCCAATTAAATAAAATCTATGCATTAATATTATATTAATGGAGAGCATTACTTGTTCAAACCTAGAGCTAATCTCTATTAATAAATCAAATCTTTGATGCTAAGGACACTTACATTTATAATAGAACAAACCAGGCCATTTCTAGCACATGAAATTCACTCTCAACATGACTGTTTCAGTATAAATATGTTTGTTTCTGAAATAATCTTCCATGAAAAGAGCAACAAGCACAGTATTACTGCCCTATAGAAAAGAAATGGCTAAGAGGAAACTAGAAGAAATATGTAAAATAGCAAAGGATTGAGAGCTGCTAGAGCAGACAGTGTAGTTCACCTTTTCCTCATAATACAAGAACAAGGGAACATGAGCTGAGACTGAAAAGAAACAGATTTTAAATTGCTAAAAATTGCTTTCAAATGACTATGGACTTCATTCTTGCAAGACCCCAAGAGGGAAGACTGTAGCAAGGTTTAAGAATGGCTTAGACCAATATTTCTCAACCAGGGAGCCATGGTGCTCTGGGATGCCTTGGGATCCTTTCAAGGGGTGATGCAGGGTGCCATACAATGTTATCACTGGTTAAGTGTGCAAACATGATTCACAAGATAAACGCAGAGATTTCAGATAGGATAAATATCTCCAGAGTGGTGATCATTAGTATTTTAAAGAGTCTTGGAAGGGATATGAACCAAGTTTTAAATGCTTTGGACTAAGAGAAAACTTCCCTTAGGAGTGGGCAGATTATATTGAAACTGCTTACTGCACCCTCCTCTGGAGCAACTGATCATGTCTTTTATCAGAGCAGAGACATTAGTTTAGATGGATCTTAAGATCCTTGTTCTTACTGCATAAAGGTAGCTCTCCAGAATGAGGTGCCTCAATGTAGCAGACAGCTAATTGCTTGCATCTTGTAGTTGAGGAGCTTTGGGTTTGACAAACAAATCACCATGACTGGGACACCGAGTTACCCCTGCAATACAAATATTATTTCCTATAGGGCAGGAGTGTTAAACATATGGCCCACAGTGGCCCGTGGAGCCCTATGATCTGCCCTGAGGGTCTCAGACTGACCCTAAGCACTGCATGCAGCATGCAGAGCCAGTCTCGTGTGCAGACCTGTCCCAGGTCCAAGACTTCTTCATGAAGACCAGAAGGTCAGTCCAGGGTGTGGGCTGCAAGAGGTGCCCATGCCAGACTGGCCCAAGCCCTGGCTTTGAAGCCAGTTTGCATTGGGCCATGTGAGCCAGTGCTCAGGGCCAGTGTGGTGGGATGCTACATGCAGCACATGAACCATATTGGCCTTTTATGCTGTGTGCAGCATACACAACTGGTCCAGCCCTACATGCAGGACATGCCAGCCCAGCAACCCTCATTCAGCCCATGGAGTCCCCTGCTATAGGGGATTTGGGGCCTGGTTTTGATTGTTTGTAACATTTGGGAGCTTTGCCATGGACTTTGGATGTAGGATCAAGTGCATTAAAATTGTGTCAGGGCCTTCAGCCACTGTAAATCCAACTCACACCCCTAACTTCAATAGCACAATGTAGATTTAGTGGCATCCTAGCAAACGAATCATGTCTTGTTTATTTCTAGTTGGCATTCTGCCTACAAAGAGAGCTATCTCCATTTGCCTGGTAATGAAACATTCCCTCCTAAAAAGTGCTGAAAGGCAATCAACAAATTAACAGGACTTTATAACAGTCTGTTTCTCATGTCATTGTGTTCAGTAGACCTAAGGGGCAAAACACCTTTCATTAAATACACCCTAGTTCTTCTAAGCATTTGAAACAGGAAACATTACAAAAAAGTGAAAATAAAATAAGAGGAACACTTCTTTAATGCAAAAAAGATAAAGCCTTTCTTTAGCTGTACTATTAAGGTTATTATAGTGGGTCAGCTGTGTCAGCTCAGAGCAGTCTGTGCCTTTGAGTAAGATTTTTATCAACATATTGAAAGAAAAATACCTATATTTATAAATGAAAGTGAAGAGAAAGCAAGGAGTAAACACCACAGAGGCTACCAGAGACCTGCTAAAAATCCAGATTGCAAGTTGGGGAAGAACCCATCTTTCTTCTCTGTTTCAAGTTTTCTATATGTTGTTACACAAATGTTATGCTTGTGTAGCAGAGCTGGTGAAATAACTTTTCATTCAGGGAAAAAAATGACATTTTGGTAAATTTTTGGTTTGGGGGATTTCAATTTTTCTTTGTTTTCCCCAATTGAGAAGTCAAGGTTTTCACAGACACTTTCTGTGGAAATCACTGTTCCATTGCAAAACAGTGTGAGGGGAAATGTCTTAACTTCCGCACTATCCAGCTCTGCTCCAGTAGTGTCTATTCTCAGGCATTTGCTTTAATTATTTACTTTGCAACTTACAAAGCCTCTCATGTCAATAAATGTAGTATTAAAATGTAACCCACAAAAGATTTTTTTTTATGGTTCTTGTTTTGGCCATACAATAGTTAGCAGTCACTTATTGCACGTGGTGGTTGTACCACCAGGTATGCTGTAATGTGGACTTTATTAAGGCCTTTCTTAAGAATAAATGAAGGGTTAGAATATTGAAACCTTGCCTGTGCCTAACTGGCTCCCTGCTACAGGTTATATCTTATGACTGTATTTAATGTATTCTAGAAGAATTCAAAGTATTCCTCTCCTGCGTTTACTAGAGAATGTGAAGTTCAGAATTCTCCGTTAATATGGATGCTCCAGTCAAAAAATGCTGGAGACTAGGGTTGGGCTGCAGAATGGGTTGTTTCTAATTCATCCATGCATGAACTGCTTTTCTTCAACCCGCATGTGAAGTCTTTGCCATCTGTAGCTGCATCCAGATAAGCAGGGGCATCTACTTGCAGTGGCACAAATTGCTGCAGTGCACGCCTCTACATTTATGCTTTGTTGCAGGCAAACTGCCCTTGCCCAGCCCTTCCTGGCTCTTGGAAGCCAGGGAGAGCTGGAAGCTGGTAAGACCACCTTCTTACCTAATGTCCTAGAGCAGCAGGGGCACAGGTCGGGCAGCATAGAGGCCTGGCTGGCAGCTAGAGCATTGCTCTGGACAGCCCAGCCTTTGTGTATGCTGGTGCATACTTGTTATGCATGAATTGCGCTGCTTTTTCTTTTGGATATCTTTTTTTTTTTTTTTAGTACCAGGAAATCTCAGTAGCAAATTTTGGCCCCATGCTGCAAATTTGCAGCCTGGGACACATTTTAACATTCACCACATGCAGTTTGTGGTGCCACAAACCACACTCCCTTGCATGTCCAGAGGCAGCCTGTGAGCAATCTATACAAGAATGCATGTGCACTCTGCAGCACCTCAAAGGTTT